TGACTGACGCAGGGAGGAGCTGAGGTGTTTTGTAGCGATTGATTGTCCTGTTGGTTGAGCAAGCAAGCAAGAAAGCTAGAGATGCATCTCGTGCCTGTATCCCTGCAGACAGACATTGATCCATGCCTGCCTCTGTGTGTGTAGCTTTCCCTCCCTCCTAGGCTGGTGCCTCCCTCCCCTCTACCTTCCCTTACCCGGTGCGGTGCCCCCCTCTCTCTGTGCCTCTCTCTCTCTCTCATATGTGTGCTGCCTCTCTCTGTGCTGTGTCGATATCTGTATGTACACACATACATGGATGGATGGTACGTGGGACAGAAAGGACTCTTCCGGTCCGTATGTATCGAAATTGAATAGTTGAAAGACAGACAAATGCAAATAAATCAGCAATGGGGTGTCTGTCTTGTCTCTTCCATCCACCACGCCCGCCGTACCCACACGCACACACACACACACAGGCGGCTGTGGTGACCCACCCGCCACATCAATCACATGAAACACACTCACGCACACAAAAAAGACCTGCCTGCCGCACGGCACTCATTTGCCCATGACAAGGCTTACTTGTGTCTCCTGGGGCTTTCCTTCTTGGCCCTCCCCGGGCTATCCTTAGCCCCACCCCGCCCCGGACTCTCCTTGGCATGTCTGCCAGGGCTATCTCCGCCCCCCTGACTCTTCTGTGCGTTCCCTCCCGACTTGGGCAGTGGCTTCATCGGCGGCACCTGGGGCCTGGCTGGACCTCCTGCTGCTGCTGTGGCTGTTGGGGGGGCAGGATGTGCTGCTGATGGGGGGTCTGTCTGGTTGATGGAGCATGCCGCCACGCCGGCGTTGGTGTACTCCATCTTCAGCAAACACTTCTTCAGGCGAAGCTCACTGGCGACAGAGACAGAGAGACACAGGCAGACATATATATCGCGGGCGTAGGGGTGATGCATTCATTCTGTTTGTGTGTGTTGTTGGGAACGAACGACACTGACTCGATTGTATAGAATTCGCGGCCGGGCTGGTAGGGGATCAGCGAGCTGAGGCCTACCACCCACCTAAACCACACACACCCACATACACACACACACACACACATTGAACAGATGGTGTCTCTCTCGGTCTGCACGTCGTTTGTCTGTCTCCCTCCCCTCACTCACGTCTCGATGTCTTTCTCGGCAGACGCGACGAAGTCCAGAGATCGTGCCACAGTGTAGACGGAGAAGCATAGGTGAGGCGAGTCCCGGTCAGAACGGAACTCCTGCAGACGGAACGCCCTGCTGTTCTCGCCGTACTCGAACCTCGTCACAGCCTGATACCATCCATCCATCCATCCATCCAGATGGCCGTGAGTGGGTGCACTTGCCCCGCGACCTCTAGAGGGATGAACTTCGGCCCCCCGCCAGTGATGATTGAGGAAGCTCTCTGCAGGCTCTGCAGCACCCCCGCCCCTGTGTCGTCGACTGGCTCCTCTTTGTCGTCTCGGATGGCGTAGAAGTCCTTGGCCTTCGGATCGTTCGACCAATACACATACCGATAATCCTCACTGAACGAAAGGTTGCTCATCGACAGACAGACAGACAGACAGACGGCCGAGCGATTGATTACCTCCTCATTTTCCCAAGGACACTCCGACCTACCTACCTGAGCCATATGAATCTCTTGTTGCGTGTGAAGGCCCTGATGGCTTTGAGGCGGCTCCTGACGTTAGGCCCGATCTTCATGACGTAGCAGCCCCGCTGCATCGCTTCATACCGCTGGGCGCTCTTGACGCCCTCAGCAACAAACGTCGAACGGCCCTTGTTCGCCCGAATGCTGGCTGCCGGTGGCTCGTGGGCGACGTCCAGTGGTGGCAGGTCCGCCGTGAGCTCCGCGAGAGTGCCTGGGTAGGAATAGGCAGCGGCGACATCGCCTCCGCCGGCCGCCTTGCTGTTGGCCTGGGCGGCACTTGTGGCCGCACGCCGCTCCGCCTTGACACGCCTATGGTGAATACGTGGGTGGGTCGGTGAGGTGAGAAGCAAGGGGCAATGGTATGGTGTGTATTTGTTAGGTACCAGTCGTCTCGTTCCTTCTGTAGCCGGTCGTTCTCCTCACGGAGCTCCTCAAGCGAGCTCTCCAAGTCACGGATGCGGGTGGACGCCTGAGACACAGACAGAGACATGGTGGCTGCTGGCCGCTCATATATACAGGACCGGTGTCCCCTCCACCCACCTCTTTTGCGGCTTCGATTTCCTTCATGAAGGCGCCTTGGAAGTCCATCAGGTTGTTCTCGGCCAGATTCACACGCTGCAGTATCATCTGCTCCAAATCCTCGTTGATCTGCATGGACCGCACAGGACACGACAACACATACACATACACGTGCTCCGCTTCCAGGCCATGTGCACTAGCCAGCCATTCACCCACCCCACCTCGTCGAGGTTGAAGCCATCAGCATGGAGGCTGGTGCTGCTCTTGAGGTGCATCTGGCTCACACTCATGTCGGACCGCAGTAGCCCCGCCGCCATGCGAGTGGCGGGGGCGCCGGCAAAGGCCGAGGAGGCGTCGCTGTCCCGCCGAACGGCCGCGTCCTGCAGCTCCTTTGCGAGTCCCCCGATCTCCCCGATCTCCCCGCCCTCCTCGTCTCCTTCCGGGATGCCCTCGAGCTCCTCCTCGTCAGATGAATCCTTCGTGTCACAAGGGAAGGCACAGAGAAATATGGTGTGGTGTCTCTTCGTTGCTGTTGTTCGTTAGTTACGTGTACGGCCCTGTCGAGTTCTGTGGCGAGTGAGGGCTGGAAGTAGCTGCCCTTGAAGAGGTTCTGGATGCTCTGCTCGTCCCCCTGCATCAGCACATCCATCTTCTTCAGCATCACGTCAACCTGCGCACAAAACACCACACGACACGACACGACACGACACAACACAACGTAACAAAACAGACAGGCCGGCGTGTGAAGGCAGGCAAGGCAGAGACACACACGTGCTTGCCGAGAAGAGGTACCTGATCCGAGAGCTCGTTCTTGCTCTGCTTGGTGGGTGTGCTCACTGACTCTCTTGTGGGGCCTCCCCTGGGCGTCTTGGGGGCCATGGTGCCGCCCATCCCGCCGGGCACATCCCCCTCCCTCCCCTGCTCTATGTGCTTCTGCAGACTACATCAATCAGTGAGTGACACACATACCATACACATGAGTGCATGCAGTCAGGCGCCCTGCAACGATGTGAGAACCTGGTGATCTCCTTGCGGGCCTTCGCGAGCTCATCTTCAGCATGGTGCAGCTTCTGGGACAGACAGACGTGCCATCTACTGATATCTTTCTGTGTTATATCACCTCCTGCAATTGGGTCATCTCTTTCGATGTGGGAGCTCGGGGCGCCTAAAGGCGGACAGACGCATAGGTGTCAGTCAATGAGCAGCAGCGGTGCGGATAGGGATTTGCGTACCAGAGGTTCGAAGTCTGTTTGCGGGCCAGTGGTTTCCTTGAGTATCATCTGCTCCAGCTCCTGACCCAGACGCTTGTTGCGCTCACGGAGGCCATCCAACTCTATGCTGTGTTCGTGAGTCGCACCAAGGCAGAGGCACCATGCAGACAAAGCAGAAGATAGCTGTCGATCCATCCATGACACCGGGAGTTAGGTGTGTACTTACTTGAGCTGATTGAGCCGCCCCTCGTATGTGCGTTTGAGGTCCCGACACGACTTCTGAAGGCTTTGCACCTCCTGACATACAGACACGATACAGACACAGCACATACATACACCCTCTACACACACTACACCAGTAAGTCACCAAGGGTCACGTCACGTACGTGGGTCAGTTTATGGTCTCTCTTGAGAATGCGCTCCAGCAGGCCCTCACGGCTGTCCAGACGGGCCGTAAGGTCATCGACTGTCTGCATTGCACCAAACCAGCAACGGGGACGACAGACAGATGTATGGCTTGTACGTTGTCCTACTCTCTCTCTCCACTGACCTGTTTGCTGCGCTCCAGTGCATGGGCCATCACCACCCTGTTGTGAAAGATCTGCGTCTTCTGCTCCTGATGGATGGACACATGGATGGACACACAGGACAGGTAGGCGTGAGACATACATTGGCCATCAGACATCGCTTTTCATGGCAGTGGGTCTCACCTGAGCATAGCGGAGGACAAATGTGCGGAAGTTCTTGGCCAGCCGCTGGAGGCTTTCAAGGCAGCCCTCCGGCAGCTCTCCCTTCATCTCATTCATCTCCGCCAGGTCGCTCTGCAATGTGGCCCACAGGTCCTCGGCGCTTGATGAGCCCTTCTGTGCGGGGCTGCCCCGGCTGCTCCCTGACGCCTCTGACGCCTCCTTGGGAGTGGCCAGCTTGGGAAAGGACCCCAACGCCACCTCGCCCCCTGCTGCTGTTGCTGCTCCGGCATGTGCAGGTGTGACGGCCTTGAACCGCAGGCCATGGACGAAGTGCTGCACGAGGGAGGCGAATTGGATAAAGGTGATGCGGCATGTGCAGTGAGAGGGGCTCTTGCCGCCCCCGCCGCCCGTGACGTCGATCCTCAGCTTCTGCATGACCGTCAGCAGGTCGCCTGTTGTCCGCGGGCCGTTCCTGCCGTCTCCCAGCTCTTGCACCACCGACAGGAAGAGATTGAGGTCGAACTGCTCGAATGAGGGGTCGTAGCACCTCTCGTATAGCGTGGACAGCAGCTCGTCGCTGCTCTCAGAAGCCATGCCGGCGCGCTCTTCGGACAGGGCATGGAGCTCCAGGAAGTCTTGCAAAAAGTCTTTCTCGACCAGCCCATACTTGGTGGCCACCTTCTTCGCCACCTTGGTTGCCTTGTCGCGAAAGGCATCGTTCGATATCGCCTCCGCCATGGCTCCATCTGCCTCGAGGTCGTGGAAAGTTGCGTCGACGGCCTCCTTGCCATACTTGTCCCAGCATGCATTCATGTGCTCACGGAAGTGCTTTCTCTTCCTCTTGGGACCCACCGCAAACCCAACCTACGTCAAATAAAGAGAGGCGGCAACGGCACAAGAGAATGTATGCATGAGATTCTCGGGTGATGGTGCGCAGAAATGCCTACTGTGGGCTGCTTGGTCAGGGCGCTCCGCACTCCGCTCATGGATAGCACCTTCGATGCAGGGGGAGAGGTATGGTGGGGGGGAGGGGACAGAGGGGGAACACTCGAGGGGGGCTCGGTGGGGGCTGGCAGTCTCCGATCGCCTGAAGCAACTAATCATGTCCGGCACCAAGAAAGGATCCGTCACGCACTCTCCCCAAGCACCTGACGTCGGTGAGTTTCCCAAAGACGACAAGGGATGTGGCCAGAAAGGTACTCACCATGAATGAATGAAGAGGGCCGTCAGATGGCAAATCATGCCGTATGTTTGCGTTGCCACGCAGGTGAGGGCCATGTGCACATGGACGAGAAGGAGAAGGATGACCCCAAGAAGGATGAACACTGGACGAGTGAGTCAGCCCCAGGGGCCTCCCCCCGAACACACAGACACCATGCGCATATGCACTACTTGAATGTTGTCTCATGATGCAGTGCTGACCGCAAGGAGGAGCGGGAAAAGCGCGTCAAGAGCCGCAAGAAGACAGGTCAGCCTGCAGGGAGGCTCCAATGATGTCGCTGAGGCCGCCACGATTATCTGTCTGTCCAGGTTATGTGGACTTGAAGAAGTTGAAGCAGCAGGCGCAGGATGCTGACGATGACGATGATGAGGAAGACGACGATGACGACAAAGACGAGGACGACGTCCCACCCAAAGAGAGACAGCAGGAGGACAGGCAGAACAAGTGACCCACCCTGGTCCCCCACTCATCACCGAGAGTGAGCATGATGTTTGTTTTGTGAATTGAATGAGGTCGATGAGGGGCTGGCTTGTTGGCGGTCGATTGGCTTACTGGAGAAAGGCATGGATTGGCATGGTATTTGTCAGCTCTAGCTAGCTGCACCTGTGCAGTGCAGCGCATGCAATGCATTGTTATGTTGAATGGAAGGAAGGGGCAGGCAGTTTTCTCTCTCTCTCTTGCGGGGCGGGATGGATGGATGTAAGGTCGGGTCAGTCAGTCGGGACATCAAGTGTGTTGGTCAAGTGGCTGAGGGGACCAGTGGCCATGTTGAGACCAATGACTTAACACCAACTTGCGCAGTCTGAAAGCTCCCTCAACGCACGCGTCTCTCTTCCTCCTTCCCTCCCTCACTTTATATCCCGTCGTCGCACTACAAGCGATCAATCGCACGAGTACATGTCTCGGATCAGTCGCATTTGATTTCTGATGGGAACAAGACGTCCACAGGGTGTGGTCACAGCTGGTTGGCCGCTGTCAATGAACGTGAGAAAGCGATGATGTGCAAACGGACAGTCAGCTCATGCCGCCCTGGCCCAACAATCCTGATCCGCGGACAAGTGTAAGCAACACACGCACACGTCCACCTGCGTGCATGGCACGTTGCATGGCGCATCCTTCTCTGAGACTGACTCTCTCTCTGTCTCTCTCTCTCTGTGTGTGTGTGTGTGTGTGTTTGCGTATGTGACCTTGGTGGTTTCCGGGTTGATTTGCGAGAGGAAGCTGATGTGGTTCTGTTCGTGGAACGTCTCCAGCTCAGGAGCACTCGCCTTGTGCTGACACGATAATGCATGGCATTTCCAGTCCTCCTGACCCCGATGACATCGTGTCTGGCTGTCTGACTCCAGCTTTCTGTATAGTTCATATGCCACGATGAGTGGCACTGCGTGTCATCTTGATGCGTCGAGGAGGCTTTCTACATCACGCCAAGACATGCACTATACAACACAATACAACACACGGGGAGAAAAGAGCCGTCTGTGTCTCTGTGTCTCTGTCTGTCTGTCTGTCTGTCTTTCTGCAAATCCTCGCTTTCTCCCATTCATTCGACAGTAGCTCCCGATGTCGGGGTCGTACAAGTACGCCACCTTCTGACGACTCGCCATGATGATCTTCTTCTCGCTGACCGCCGACCACCTGACTGCATCTCGAGACTGGGGGCTTTGTGGGGGCTGCATTGCACGGGTTCCAGTCTCCGAGTCGATGTTCCACGTATCTAATTTCAGGGAGCCTCTGTGTTACTGCCACCGTGACACCCGCAGCTGTCTGTGTGGCTGCTGCTGCCCCTGCCTGCTGCAGGCCTGGACCAAGGCCGACATCGATGCACGCCCCTGCCTCACCTGGGACTGTGTCGAGGCATCCCTCCCACTCGTCGCCGCATTCGCCACTTACAACGTCCGCCAAACCATCAGAGAACACCTCGGGTAGGGTAAGCCATGCGGTGCATTGTGAGCACATTAAATTCGGGGAGAGAGAGAGAGAGGGAGATCGAACACATGATGTGTGTGGCGGCCGTGGGGCCTTTAGGTATGAGTATTGGGAGGCGCAGGACATGTTCAACAGCTGCTGCTGCTGGCAGTGCACCCTCTGCCAGCACGTCCGCGAGCTGCGGCGGGCGATGGAGCCGGAGGACCTGGAGCCCGGCATTGCCAACGCCCCGGTGCCGCAGGAGATGAAGAACGCCCACCCGATCATCAAGGTGGGCGGCGGGGCGGTGTATGCCGAGAAGGACGAGGAGACGCAGCAGCAGGGGTACGTCTATCGCACCACACTGAGGGACAACCCGGACAAAACCGAGTTCCGCACCGTGCGGAAGAAGCCCCCCATGGAGGAGGGGAAGAAAAAGAAAAAGACGAAGGGGAAAGGGCAGCAGGAGCCGGAGTATCTGTTCTACTCGCCACCTACATGACATGACATGACGCGGGAGGGAGTGGTCATGTCAAGCAGAGGGGGCGGGGGGGACATTTCGTGAGAGGGCGGCAGGCAGGCAGATACACGAGAGCATTAACCATGCATGCAGCGAGTGACTGTGTCAGTCAGGGGTACATGAAGGCTACTTTGCTATAGATACATGCACATGGACATGGACATGGACATGCACATGGACATACACGGAGTGAATTGTACGAATTCGAGGCCCCAGCCTTTTGCCGTGCCTGCCTGCCTGCCTTTGTGTGAAGGGGCCTTGCTGCCTCGATCGAAAGCCGACAGGTGATAAGGACAGCCAGCCAGCCAGCCATCCCAAGCCACAAAAGCGCCGTCCGTCCGTCCGTCCGTCGGCCGGCCGGCCATCTGTGTCAGTCATCCATCCAGTAATTCAGTCAGTCAATTAGTATGGTCACCATCATGCGCGATGTGCCGCACACTTAATGCCATCCATCCATCCACCCATAATCTCAATAATTATGAACTACACATACATGCATGCATATCTACAGCATACACACAAGGGCACGCAAAGCACCCCGCCATCCCATCCAGTGAGTCTAGGCCACGCCCAGCGTCCTCTGCGCCGAGCCCCCCGCGCTTGCACTCTTCCTCCCCCCGTCCTTATCGACACCGTCTGTCGTCACATTGGCCTTTCTCCTACTCTCAGCGACCGCCGTCCTCATATCGTCTTCCCGCAGGCCCATGAGGGAGAGAATGGGCGACTCATGTTCACCCTCAGAGGGACAGGGCATGCTGCTGAGAGCGCTCAAGGACCAGTCGTAGGCGAAGTACCCGCCGCACAGGGCGTATCCCTGCCAGTTGACGCGCTTGTCGAGGACAAGCCAGTCCATCTGGGTGTACGGCAGCTGCTCGGACGCCAGCAGAGTGCCTTCCCAAGTGGTGCCTGCACACACATACACACGGGATGGAAGCACCCGTATAATCAATGCATCCATCAATGCGATCGCCCCAATGCATATGTGTGTGTGTGTCACTTGTCGGCTCGTTCACTCACTCCCTCACTGACCTGCAGCAATGACCATGCCGTGGAGATCGGGTGTGTTGCACGCCGGTGTGAGCGACTCCGTGTCCTGACACCAGGGATAGAACGGGTGGTGGCGAAACGAGGAGCCCTCGCCCTCCCCGGCCTGAGCTCTCCTTCTCCGTGGGGGGGATGATGATGATGATGATGAGTCGGTGACGTTGACAGACGCCAGGGCCACCAGACCGATGTCCGGCTCGGTGAACTTGCTCGTCCCCACAAACAGATGATCCACAGAGAAACCGATCAGCGACCTGCCCAGCGTCGACCGTTCCCAATACCTGCAGACAGACACGGCACACACAAACAGATAGACAAATGGGTACAGTATATACTGCCCTTCTACTGTGGCTGGCTCGTTGGCGTACTTGTCGCTCCATGTGTTCTGAGGTGGTGATCCCAGCACCACATATGACACCCGGTGCTCCGCCAGTAGCTCCATCTTGTTCACCGCAGTCTCATCGTCGAACAGCAGCACCCCATACTTGCCCACAGTGAACAGCCTGTTGGCCATGCTCAAGGCCGCCGACGCCAGCTTCTCGCGACCCTCCCTCTCCTCCTCACTCACGCCCTCCGTCTTGACCCTGGGGTAGATGACCGCCACGGCCCCCTGAGCCATCATCTCACCGAATGGCCCGGCATTGGCCACGTTGCGCTCAGTGGACCACCAGGAGTCGTCGCACTTGTCCCAGCCGCTGGAGGATGTGCAGAGGTGGGCTTGGGGAAGGAGGTATGGGCCGATGTTGGCGATTTTGAAGGGGATGGGATGGTCGTCCACTAGGAGGTAGAGGGTGTCCTCTGCTGAGAACGAGGTGTCCCGTCCATGGGAGAGCTGACGACATCAGACAGACAACACAAGATGCAGACCGGCTTCTCGGTTGATGTTGTGCGGTGGTGATGCATTTATTCCTACGAGCTGAAGCATGTTGGCCTTGAGACCGAACCGACGCACCTGCCGACCCACAGACCCACAGACAGACAAACATCTTGAGTCGCTTCTTTCTTTCTTTCTCATTGCTCCCCTTGTCTGCTGTCTCACGTACGTTGTGGGTCTTGAGCTTGAGTGTCCAGGTCTTCGGTTCCTGGCTGTCGAGAGTCGGAGGCTCCAGGGTGGCATGGATCGTCGCCTGCTGGTGGGGGCGGAACGTCTGCAGGATGACGAGGCCGTTCTTGCCGCTCATAGTCACGCCCACATTCGGCGTCGTGGTCGTCCACTCGCGCAGCAGCGGCTCGGTGCCGCCCTGCCCATCCTTGAGCACCGCCTCATAGTAAGGCGTCAGATCCTGGGCGCTGACCACCTCGCCCCACCAATGGCCTTCCCCAGGGACCTGCACACACATCGTCCATCTGTTCCCTCTCCCATCACCTTCACCGCACCCACTGCACCTACTGCACCCACCCACCTCTGAGTAGAGCACCGTCTTGGAGTCGCCAACCACAGGATGCTCAGGTGCGCCCGGCCAGTTCTTCATCTCGAACCTGATGTCCCCGCTGCCGTACTTGTGGGTGTACTGGAACTCCCGCTGCCTCAACACGCGAACGAACCGTCGCAGGAGGTATGCCGGCACTGTCAGGTCGGCCCCGCCGGCGCGGCCCAGGAAAGGGATGCCGACGAGGTGGGTGGAGAGGATGTCGGTGTCGTAGGCCTGCTGGCTTGCGGCAAGGAGGGCTCGGAACAGCCGGTCGGTGTAGCTTCTGTCCTGGTTGGTCGTGGGGAAACTGTACTCGTCACGCTGAGATGGGTAACAGACAGAGAAAGGGAGCCGCGAGTGTGGAAATGAACAGACATGCGCCGACTGACTGATGTGCGTATGCTCTCTCTCACCTACCTTGATCCATGCGCTGCCCGTTCAGACAAGACGGATGGATGGAAGGGTGGATGCGACAGACATACAGACAGACAGACAGACAGAGAGGGATGAGCAGGGAGGGTGTTGGTGGTGTCCTCCTCTCTGTTCTTGTTTCGCTCACGATGCGCAGAGGCTGCCCATAAGGGTGTCCGGGAACTGCGTGCTGAAAACGAAACACCCGTGGCCGCCCTACATCACACGCACACAGGACAGGACAGGACAGGAACAACACACAAGGCCAGGCACGTCAGCCAGCCCCTGACGATTCCCACCCCAACATGACCGTCGCTCACCATAGAGTGTCCCACAACCATCAGCCGCTCAATGTCTGCGCGAAACGATGCCTTGCTCTCCTCCGGCACACCTGCATGACACCACACCATATGAGGGACACCCGACAGCCATGCGCAGGTGAGTGCAGTCATGTCGACATCATGGCACCTACCTGGAAGGGTACGCTTGAGCGCCAGGATGGCCGAGATCAGGTTCTGCTTGCCGGCAGACTCCCAGTTGTAGCCGTACGCACTGTCAATGGGATGCAATAAGCGCACACAAATCTTTCACATGCACCCTTATATTCTCTCTCCTGTGAGGCAATTAGCTGACCCTCTGTTTGTGGGCAAGATCACGAATGTCTTGTTGAATGAGGGCACCGCGCCGTACCAGTCGTTGCTGCCGGCGTCCACACTCGCACCGTGCAGCGCCACCAGCACGTTGCAGCTGCAGCCACCATCCTCACCACCATCCTCATCCTCATCCTGCATGGCCATGGCCAGGAACTGCTCTCCTGTGGCCTCTCGCTGCCCACTGCTGCCGCTCCTGCCAGTTGAGGTGGTGGTGGTGGTGGGGCATGTGCAGTCTGTTTGTGGGAGCTTGATGGTGGCGTACTGGACGCTGTTGTCGGTGTCGAGGAAGGTAAATCTGTACTCTTGACGCTCGGCGAAACTCCTGGGTACACACACATGCAAGGAAGGCCCAGAGAGAGAGAGAGATATGTGAGAGGGTGGTGTGGTTGGGCATGGAGATTCGTTGATATATTTGACTATCTTGCCTGCAGTCCAGCGGCAGGGTATATTCTGCTGCAGGGCGGTCCTTGCCGTCATTGAAACTGGCGGTGACCTCAAAGGTGACCTCCACCGTGGAGATCTTCTTGCCGCACAGGGCTGCATCCTCCTCCTCCGACAGCTCGACCGACAGCTCTACGCCCAACGCATACGCCTGGCCTGCAAACAAACAAACGGCCGCATACACATATATCGGCAAGTGCGTTCCTTCCTTCGTTCGTGGGCTGGCTTCACCCTGTCTGTCGCCCGTCAGCCACTCAACTCACCTGGGAGGATCTGAATGAGCTCCGGACTGGGAACCTTCTGTCGGTTCCGCGAGTCATCGCCATCATAGCCACCGTGGGTGCGCGGTGGGCCGACGATGGCCGCCACGGAGATGTCGCCCTTGAAGGGATGGACCCGCACCCTCTTCTCCTTCTCAACCGGAGGCGAACGGCCATCATCATCATCATCGCCCTTCTTCTCATTATCGCTGTCCTGGCCCTTGTCCTCATCTCTGTCTTTTGTTGTCAGCTCTGTGGCCTTTTGCTGTTTTTGCGTGTCGTTGCTGGTCTGGTTCTTGCTGTCGATGTAGGTCACTTCCACCTGGCGCACCTTAGTGGTCTTGACTCGCACGTCGAATGCGGTGGCCGTTGCCGCGTTGAGGAGGGGCAGCATGAGGTAGGGCGAGGCCAGCCGGCCCTCCACTATGTCGGGGACATGGAAACACAGGCCCGGCGCATGCGCCTTGGGAATGTCAAATTCGCCCAGGAGACGCTGCACACTCACACACACACACGCGCGCATGCACACACACGGATGGATGGATGGATGGATGGACAGACGTCACGTAGCAGTAAGATTTGGTGGGCTGACCATGATGACAAGATTGTCGACCTTGACTCCTTTTTGTGTCTTGCGGGCGATGACGCCTCCGCCCTTCCTCTCGCCGTCCTTCCTCAATGCCGCGGTCGACAAGACAATCGGGGGTGACGTGTGGTTGGATGATCGACCTGCACACAGACAGTCAAACGGTGCGTTGTGCTGTGGCGTGCTATGGGTATTGGTGCGTGGTGGGTCACTCACTCACTCAGTCATCCACCCACCTGGAAGGCTGAGAGCGTCGGCCTCCTTGACATGCAGCAGCTCTGTGGCCCTGTCCCCCGCTGGCCTTGGTCTGGTGCTCGCCGACGCCGCATAGGCGGAGATGTCCAGCGGCCCCTCAGTAGCGGCTGACACCATATGGATGTCTGATGACGACAGCTTGCCCGCCGCCTTGGCCTTGGAGGGGGTGTCGGTGTGGGCCTTGCCCTTCTGATCTCCCCTCTCCTTTTTGCTGTCCCCCTCCGATTTTCCCTCTGTTTCCTCCTTTGCCTTGCACTCGCACTCCTCCTCGTCTTTTTTCTTTTTTCCTTGTTCGTCCTCCTCCTCTTGGTGCCGCTTGGGTACGAAGACCTCGGGCATGGTGTCGTATGAGGGGGTGAGGTGGACGGCCGGGTCGATGAACATGCACTTGAACGAGAACCGGGCGCTCAACTGGTCAACACAACACAGAGGCGTGATTCACAAACCTTCTCGGTTGGTCTGCTGGTCTGTTGGTCTGTCTGTCTGTCTACCAGTATGGTGTGTGTGCCTGGCTCCAGCTGGATGGCCTGCAGCAGCCACTCGCCGTTGAGGATGTTGTTGTCACCGTTCCACCACCACCCAAGGGCATAGACGTCACCAGACAGACGGTGCCCATCCTAACGACAGACAGACGGACAGATACACACCACACACAAATCAAATCAAGCACAGACCAGACCCCTCAATCAAGGGCTCTCGACTGGCTGGCCGGACAGCACAGATCCGCTCTGCGTGTCTGTGTGTGTCAGTCTGTGGCGCTGGTTACGATGTAGAATGACGACACGCCCCCGCATGTGATGAGGTAGCTGCCGGTCTCGCCCACGTCGGGCACCTCGAAGTTGGCCACCGCCCAGCTCTTGACGCTGTACGCCGCAGGACCCAACGCCTGCATACACACACATACACACACATGTATGTGATCCATCCGTCCATCCATCAGGCACTCTACCTCTCCCTCTCTCTGTGTGTGTGTGTGTCTGCATCTCTCTGTCTGCGGACAAGCATACATCCATACATCGTTGAGTGCGTCGAAGTCGACCATCGAGTAGTTGAGTTGCACGAACCCGTCCTCGCCCGACGTGGTGTTGGACCAGTTGGCGTACCCCCCTTGCGTTATGTCGCTCGGACACAGGACGTCCCTCCCTGCCTTGAGGTCCTCCAGCGCTGCCTTGATGCCGCCGAACGCCTCCAGTACATCACCGCCGATGCCAGCCGTGGTCGCAGGAAACGGACCTACCAGCAGCACACATCCCACAGAGCACAGTGTTGCAAAGCAGGAGGGAGTCTGTGTGTTTAGGCTCTCTGCACCCACCAAGCCAGTTCCATGTAGTGTTGGCGAGGGAGGGGAGGTTGGCGTTGATGGCTCCCGTCACGGCCCCGAGCCCGCACAAGCACGACAAGGCGATGAGCAGCAGGCTGACCATGCCTTTCCGCCTTCCCATCCTCCTCATCACATCAGACGGTCACTATCAGATCCTCCTCCGCTGTGCGCTCACAAACGACGCCATAATCCCCAGGATATGCGCAGCTTGTCATGTGCTGCAGATCCGCTGCGGCGTGTGTGCCTTTCGGTTGCCAGACTGCGAGCTTGTCCTTACCCTTTTCTCAGCTCGCAGTGCCTCTCCGCGTGCGTGCGTGTGCTGATTTCCGCTTCCGCTCGTTGTGTTGTGCAGCCAGCAGTGTGTGCTGTCTGTCGATTTTGCTGTGAGTATCCTGCCTGCCTACCCGACTTTGTGCTAACTAGCTCCCTATCGGATTCTTGTCTGTCTTCTTTGTTGTCGGAGTTTACCATCATGCCCGCCGTGTACAGCCGTCCCGAGCGCACGAACCGGCTTGGCACCGAGACCGCCTACGCCGTGTCACTCGAGGCATCGCAGCTCAAAGCCAAGGGTGAGTGATGAAGACACGACACGGGGTGGGTAGGGGGAGGACAAGACAGCAGGGTGCGTCGAGGGCGTGGGAGGGCCCTGACGGCTTGTGGGGTGTCATCTGGGCGCTCTGAGGTCATGTCTCACTAGGCCTTGTCGCTGTGTGTCCCCTCTGTGTGCGTGATGTGTGGTGTCTGTCTTGTCTTTCAGGCAAGACCATCTACCCGTTTCACATCGGTGATCTGAACTTCAGCACTCCCCAGGTTGTGATCGATGCCGCCAAGAAGTCCCTCGATGCTGGCAAGACCGGATACTGCCCTGCTGCAGGCATTCCGGAACTCAGAAAGGCACTCGCACAGGTCAGTCAGTCAGTGACGGGGAGGGGAGAGCCACACATGGAGGGAGGGAGGGCGGACAAGACAACATGGGGAACTCCGTGTGATGCGTGCTGGTGTGTTGTGTGTTGTGTGTGTGGTCCTGTAGCGTATCGGCGGTGACCGCGGCATCGAGTACACGATGGAGAACGTGTCGGTTCAGCCCGGTGGCAAGCCCGTCATTGGCAAGTTCCTGCTCTCCGTCGTCGAGGATGGCGAGGAGGTATACCTACCCACACTCTTCAGATCAGATCAATCACACAACACAACGCACCCCGACACTGACTGCATTTGTTGTCTGTCTGTCTGTCTGTCTATCTGTGTGTGTGTCAGGTGTTGTATCCTTCGCCTGGTTACCCGATCTACGAGTCGCTGATAGACTACCACGGTGGTGTGCCCAAGGCCTACACCTACATCGACACCGGTAGCGAGTTCAAGATTGACATCGACCAGATCAGGTCCCTCATCACTCCCAAGACCAAGGTCCTCATCTACAACAACCCCTCTAACCCCATGGGCGCACTCAGGTGACACACACACACACCATGGGTGCATTGATTGTGTGTTCGGTATGCTGTGTGTGTGTGTGTGTGGTAATGGTCGATGTCTGTCAGTTCCCCTGAGGAGATGCAGGCGTTGGCTGACCTGTGCATCCAGCACGACCTGTGGGTCTTGTCGGACGAGCCCTACTTCGACATCGTCTACGACGATGCCAAGTTCGAGCACAGATCCATCGCATCCCTCCCGGGCATGCAGGACCGCACCGTCATCCTCTACACCTTCAGCAAAAACTACGCCATGACCGGGTCAGTGAGGCACTCAGTGCCGAGAGTGCTGTATGCAGCTCACCCTCTGTCCCTGTGTCTGTGTGTGTGCTTCATTCATTCATGTGACATGTCGTGTGTCAGGTGGCGTGTGGGTGCGGCGATCGGTCCGAAGGAGGTGATAGACCAGATCACGAAGCTCAACACCAACATGGAAGCGTGCACCAGCCACTTCCTCCAGCACGCCTCGGTCGAGTGCCTCGAGAAGCGCAAGCAGACCGACCAGTTCCTCTTTGACATGCTCGCTGAGCTCAAGGACCGCCGCGACCTGCTCGTCAAGCTGGTCAATGAGGTGCCGGGCTTCAGCTGCTTCACGCCGCCATCCACTTTCTACCTCTGCGTTAAGGTCACCAAGGTGAGATTCAGGGAGGGATAGACGGACGGAGAGAGAGAGAGAGGCATACTTGGATGGATGGATGCATGGATGTGTGTGTGTGTGCTTAGGCGATGGACATGTTGGGATTCAAGAACATCGAGGACTTCCGCCGCTCCATCCTCGCCGAGACCGGCGTGTCGTTCTGCACACGCGAACACTTCGGAGAGGCACAGTCCTTCGACACCGTAAGCACAACAACACAACACAACAAGACACAACACAATACCACACCCAGCAAACAGGGCTGCATCGCATCGGTCTCTGCTGTGCTGTGCTTGTGTGTTGGCTCCTTCCTTCAGGACCACTATGTCCGTTTCGCCTACTCGTCCGCCAGCCAGGAGACCATCAAGACGGCACTCACCGTCCTCAAGGACTACATGACCTCCAAGACACAATAAATCGACCGCATAGGCAAACAAATAGATAGACCTACCACTCTCTCTCTCTCTCTCTTGCCATCCTGAGGGGTGGGAGGGGTGGGTAGAGGAGGCATGTGCGTCTGTCGATATGGGGTGGGTGGGTGGTGAGCTTGATTGAGGGTCGAATGGCGTTGGCGGGCGATCACACGGCATTTTTGTCTCAGGGAGGGTGGGGGGGCAGGGGAGAGGGAGGCATGGAGAGGGGGGGGGGTCATTCTGCATGCTGCAGATGGTCCTGTGGCCTGCCGGGTGGACCTCTGCATCTCCATGCTTCGGCCCTTCCGTCTGTCTACCCTCCACTGATTGATGTGATCCATGCATGAGCTGCCTGCCGTGCCTGCCGTGTACACGAATGAGCTTTTTCTGTGTCTGAGTGAGTGAGATGGATGGGTGGGTCGATTGGTGGACGGCTGACGAGCGGACAATTTTGGCCACCGCGACAACCGACTGGCTGTGTTTCGGCTGCCAACCAGCGAGCGGAGCAAATCTGTCTGCATGTTCGTGTGTGTGAGTGTGTGTGTGTCTGCGTGTGTGTGTACCTGTGTGCGTACCTGTGTCACTTTTCTTTCTGTGTGCGTGTCGCTGTGTTGTGATCTTTTTGCCGCGGGGGGACGGTTGTGTTGTGTTGTGTCGTGTTGTCTCGCCGCCCCTTGGTACCTACTTCATACTTATCTCTCTCTGTCTCTTGCTTTCCTTTTCGCACTGGCAATCTGACAAGAATGCCTGCCTGCCTGCCTGCCTGTAGCATAGCCGTTGACACTCACAACACACTCACTGCCTGTGTGTACTCGGATGGATGGATGGATGAGAGACTCAATGAATGCAATGTGTGTGGAGTTTCTTGACAGCCGCCATCGCAGTGCGTACCACTGGCGCATGGGGAGGTCCGTCAGTCAGGCAAGGGAGGGAAAGAGGGAGGCCTGCATGGATGGATGCATGGATGGATGCTCACGCACGTGTATGCCGACGAGTGTTTGATGAGACGTGCGTGAAAACATGCATTGCATTCATGCGTGCAACGTGATGGTGCGTGAGCGCCTGACGGATGGATGGACGGATGGACTGTCGGACTCTCCACACGGGTAGGTAGGTAGTTGGCTGACTGACCGCTGCACACTGTTTTCTTCCTCCGCCCCTCCCTGGTTCTTTTCGATGATACACTGCCTGTGTGAACGGATGGACTCACTCGCACAGATAACACACATTCGGTGAAAGCGCGTCCACACACACTCCGCCTTGGAGATTTCCGCACTCCTACCTGACAACAGACAACTGGCAGGCAGGGAAGAAAAGGCAATTCGTCGGCCTGGCCATGTTGTGTTGTGTTGTCTTCTTGTTACTCCTCCTGAGTTGACACGATTCGATTGCCATGAGTGAGTGCATATCCACTACATGGATGTGATGATGTGATTACGTACCTACGTATTACATGTATGTATGATGAGTCTAGCCTAGTCTAGCCTACCTGTCTGCTTGCCCTACCCTACCTGACGCACGCACGCGCCGAGAGGACCTGCCTTCTGTCCTCCCTGTCTGTCTGTCTGTCTGTCTGTCTCCCTTTCCCTCTTCTGTCTTGCCTGCCTGACTGTCTGTCTCGTTCGTCTAGCGCTAGGCTCAGTGGGGTGAGGTGCATTCACCACCCACCGTGGGCCAAGGAGCCCACCACGGCACGACACACCACACCACACCACAACGAGCAACGGCCTCTCACACACCCATGTTACCTGACTGACACACTGACTTGCCTTGGGATGGGTGACATCGTCCTGTGGAGTCGCTCCTTGTGCCACGTCTCCTTGATGTTCTCTCCTCTGTGTTTGCACGCGCAGTGGGGAGACGGTCAAGGGGATAGGCGAGAGGAGCCCTTGATTGCACAGGGCGGTGATCCCTTCCAGAAATCGCCGGCCGCCTCGTATCATACGTGTCGCATCCAGGCATATTCATTCCATTCATTCATTTGGGAGCAAAGCAGTGGGGGCATTCATTCATCCGTCGACTCATCCATGCCATGCACCGATTTTTGGTCACACACCTGAATGTATGTTGCCCCGACCCACTGCCTGCTGTCTGTATGTGCACACTGCTGCAGCAGACAGAGGTGGGGCCTTCACACATGCACTTATGTGGGTGGGTATGAAACGGGAAGGGGGGGTTGGACGCATCGAGTGAGTGAGCATGCGTTGTGGTACGTTCGCTGTTGGGAAAGTCTTTTTGTTTGTGTCTGCCTGGCCTGGTTTGCTTTGGCTTGGCTGTCGTCGGTGGGTGTTTCGTTCGTGGACTGGACGAGAGTGTGACTGGATGGGATGCATCACATCATGATTGCATTGCACACGTCACGGGTATGTGTTGACTGACGGACACCACCTCACCACCTCACCTTGTCATGTCGGTCTTTGGCTAACGGCTCACCTGCACACGTCTGATAGCATACAGCATATGGCCCGGCCCGCACACCTCTCTGTACGCCAAATATGAGTCCATGGAGATGAGTCCATCGTGATTCCCCTGCTGCGAGTCAGCAGCTACACCAGGCTGAGGTGCGCGTCAAAAATGGCACCATCCGTCACGAAAGGGCCGAGTATCGCCTGAGCCTTGTTAAAGCTCACGGTCAGCGAGAAAGTACGGCAGAAATAGATATGGATGCTCCATACTGCGTTTGTGTCTGTCTCTGTGTGTGTGTGTGTGTGTGTCCTTACTCAGATGCGGCGTCCGAGCATGAGCGCAAGGAAGTGTCGAGCATGAGCCTGTCGGTGCTACAGGAGCTGCTGGGGGAGTGCCAACGTGCGGTGGACAGGAGCGGCAAGAGCCGCGTCTGGCTACTCGGCCTGATTGACGAGAGGCGGCAAAAGGCCCTTGCTGCGGACGATGAAGCAACCGAGCAGCTGCGCTTGGGGGATGTCACGTGGGCTTCCGAGATGCTCTCTGAGCATGAGGCGCTCATCGAGCGCGCCGTGAAGATACAAAAGCGGTGCGACGCCCGCCTTGCCGACCTGCAGCAACAGCGAGGTTAGTCGAGAAGGAATGAACCAAGGGATGAAGGGAGGGAGGTACCAGGCCAGACAGAGAGGATTGGCTTGTGTGCTGGTTAATTTGCTTTCACTTATTCAGGTGTGGAGGCTCTGTTGTCGCCGAGTGGTGAGGCTGCGGGGGACGTTGACGAGCAGGTGCCTGAGCAGCTGCTGGCTGATGATAAGGCAGGGCCTGTCAGACATCGACAGTCAACAGACTGAGAGAGGAGAGGGAGGGGGGACGCACACGGGGGAAAGATCATCAACAGCCAGCTGTCCTGACATTCGACCTTTTCTCCTTTTCTGTTTCGTCGTTTCTATCTTGTTTCTCTCGTCGTCTCGAGTAGATGAGTCCAGTCCATGCAGAGCTCTGTGTTTCTGATGGATGCATGTTGTGCTGTGCATGTGTACAGTGCATGTCCGTCTGTCTGTGTTTATTTGGACGTTTATTTGGACGCGCGTACGTGTCAGTCAGTCACTGTCGATTTGATGCGCCTGCCTGTGTCGTGTGAGCTAGAGAGTTTGAGCTTCAGCTGTCTCCTCTACTTTGACTTTGGCCTCATGTACATATTAGGATGTTTGTGTGTTTCCTTGTGAGGTGCCATTGTGAGGTGTGTTCCAGAGAGGCAGGCAATCAAGCAAACACGTGGACACAGACACAGTAGCCGTCCTGCCGCTGATTCATTCGTGTAGTCTAGTCTTGTCTTGAGCCGGGCATACACATCGTGTACGTAGTCTCTTTTATGTATGTGCTGCCTTGGCTGCCTGTACGCATCGCATGTGTGTGTGGATAATCAGTTCGTCGTCAAGACATGTGGATAATGTATACCATATCCACCCATCCATCCATGGCATGAAGAGGGGTCCTTTGCTACCCAGGCATGGCATGGTACCTACACAATCATGCAAGGCAACCAGTCTGACCTGTGGCC